AAGCCCTATGTTCCTCTAGGAATTAAAGGAAACAATAATAAATAATAATAATAATAATAGATCTTTCGCTACATAATTATATTTACGCTTATACAGTGAAAAAGAAATAATTCGTCCGTGTCTAAATCCAGATTAAAATTAATTCCGTATTTATTGAATAATAAATATTCAAAGTCACGTCAAGAAAAATATTGATCCTGTCGCTGTTTAGCTTCCTAGCAGTCGACTAATTTGTTTGTGTTCCTCTTGGCCGTTCTTAATCCTTTTTTTTTCATAACCAAAAGGGTATTAGCTTGAGTAATAAATTATGTAAAAATCCGTGGGTATATTGTCATTTGTCTTTGAGGTGAAGACAGAAGGAAAAGAAGGCTGTCTAATATCACCGATTATATTCTTAGTGTTTGGTGGATTGGATTATGCCACACAGTGTTATACAGTAATGTTTACTGATGACGTTTCGAGCACAATTTATTCCTCATAATCATATCAACGTAATCACATGACTTCCTAAATTCATTTATATAGTTCCGTTGTTTTTCACATGATTTGATTGGTAGTAATATTTTCCATATTTCGGGTGTGAGTGATGAATCATTCCTATTGCATGTGTTGGGTGTAGATTCGATGAACAAGGAAGGATTCAGTTATCAACCTGTTTCTCTCTCTCCACCTAACTAGATTACTTCTTAGAATTTTAACCCTCTCCCACCCTATTGTGTTAATGCATGCATTGAAATTGCTGAGCTTTTTTCTAAATTACTTATCTTCTCTGGGTCAACCATTCTTACCTTAGCTAAATTCTTATGTTCTGACAGGCAAGCTGACTACCCCTGACCTACTAGTTTGACCTATGTAGTTGACCTCACAGTCATTGCAGGGTATTTTGTAAATTATACTATTTTGTCTAATTGGGTCACCTGGATCCTTTCCCTGAGTGAGTTCGTAGGTTTAAATACCACAATAATTCCTACTTTATTTAGAATCCTACGTAGGGTCTCAGATGTCCCCTCCTTATATGGTATAACTGTAGATAACTTATATGCTCTCTCATTTATGTTATCATTACTAGTTTCACAATTCTTTTATTTTTCTTTTGGCCTTTTTCAATCTTGCTAATGAATTGTATAGGATAGTTATTTGACACCAACGCCTCTTCTATCTGTTTTATTTCATCATTTAGGTCTTTTTTGTGCTACTTAGTGCTACTGCTCGGTTTGTTAAACACTTAACTAAGCCTGCCTTAACAGTTAAAGGGTGAGATGAATTAAAGTCTAAATATCTATTAGCAGAATGCGTTGGTTTTCTATAAACAGTAGTGTGTAGTTTGCCTTCTTCTATTCGTTTTATTTTTCAATCTAACATTGCTAATTCTCCTTGTTTATTTTCGGCTTCAAATGTGAATTTTACTCCCTCCACTAGTGTGTGTCAAGAAGCTAGAGATATGTTCTGTTTTTAACACTGTGAAAGTGTCATCCACATATCTCCACCATAGTTTTGGAGTAGGATTAAATGTATCAAGAGCCATATTTTCCTAACTCACAGTCATAGCAGGGTATTTTGTAAATTATATTATTTTGTCTAATTGGGTCAACTGGGTCTTTTGACCTACAGAGCTTGTCCCTGAGTGAGTTCGTAGGTTTAAATACCACACTAATTCCTGCTTTATTTAGAATCCTACGTAGGGCCTCAGATGTCCCCTCTTTATATGGTATAACTGTAGATGACCCCGAGAAGATAAGTAATTTAGAAAAAAGGTCGGCAATTGCAATGCATGCATTAACACACAACCACACAATAGGGTGGGAGAGGGTTAAAATTCTAAAAAATAATCTAGGTAGGTGGAGAGCGAGGGAGGTTGATTACTGAATCCTTGTTCATCGAGTGGATCTACACCCAACACATGCAATAGGAATGATTCATCACTCATACCCGAAATATGGAAAATACTACTACCAATCAAATCAAGTGAAAATCAAATGAAAAACAACGGAACTATATAAATGAATTTAGGAAGTCGTGTGATTGCCTTGATATGATTGATTATGAGCAGTATTAAATTGTGCTCGAAACGTCATCAGTAAACATTACTGTGTAACACTGTGAGACTTTATCAAAACAAAAATTTACCCATAATGGAATTACACTCTACCACAGTGCACAAGTTTTATTCTTATGTCAATGGATTATGCCACAGACTGTGAGGAATAAAGAGACGGCTATACGTTGAATGGACAATAGGATATTGGAAAATCTGAAATTTGCGGATGATTTATGCCTTAAATGTCACACGGACTTGAAGATCTACAAGTGAGAAGGGACAGTTCATAAGAAAAGGTAGTGGAGACAGGACCACAAGTGAACGCAGGGAAGACATAGGTTGATTAAGAGATACCTGATGACCAACAATTAAAAAACAACCAGCACCAATCATCATCGGGATAAATCCTATAGGAAGTCAGTTTATTCACTTATCTAGGCTAGGTAGCATTGTTTTAAATACACACGTCACTCAGCATCAACAACAAAGTGATTCGGATTTTCAATACAAACGTCAAGTCAGTCAGATCTTCTATACGGATCAGAAACTTGGCGGGTCGCACAGAATATTTCCAACAGCCTGTTGCACACCTTTATCAACAACAACTGTCTTCGCTGGCTCTATACTCAAGATGAGATGACCGGAAAGAATCACCAACAAGAAACTATGGGAACAAACAAAACAAGAACCAATCGCTCAACAAATATGCAGGAGAAAGAAGTGGAGATGGATTGGACACTCGCTGAGGAGGCCACTGGGTGGGTGACATCGCGCGTCAGGCCATAGCTCGAGTGGAACCCGAAAGGGAAGCGGCGAGTGGGACGTCCAAGTGTGACATGGAGGAGATCGTGTGAAGAGGAATTGAAACAGTATGGATTAACATGGACGCAGGTGGAAAGTACAGCAGAAGACAGAAGCAAGTGAAGACGTGTAGTTGAAGCCCTATGTTCCACTTGGAACCAAAAGGAATAATAATTATAGTGATAAGAATAATAATGATTTCGAGATATCAGCTTGTATACGTGAATACACAAAATTAAACATGTCTGTAAAAGCTGTTAGGACCGAACTGAATTCGGACAAAAAAAGCTTAGGTATCAATAGACAATATGATGTTAGGAGTGCAGCTATTTTTGACTTCTAAAGGATCTAGGTTTTGAGAAATAATATGTACAAACGATCTGACAAAGTTATCATGGAATCATCAATATGTCTAGTCTTGGCGAATATATTTTTGCATAGGTGTGAAAAGTTATCTCCGTCAGTCTTATTCCCCAAAGTATCATCAGTAGAGGAAAAATTCGATTCTACTTCTGCCAACTTGCTGGTTTTCGCATGTCTTTCTGTCTGTCTGTCTACTTTCGACATAGAACTTTGCACATATGTGCAGCAGTTCAAGTCGACACACTCCATGTAGCACACAAAGGAAGAGAAGAAAGTAGAAGAAATGCACAATACAGACAGTAAACAGAGGTGAGACAAAGGAATAGTAATAACGAAGAACAAAACAGTTTCATTGGAAATCATATGTCACAAGGAGTGGATGCATCTGCGCTGTCATTGAGAACGATCACTTTGAGCCATGTCACCAATTGTTTCCAGCCTTCATTGGTTTTTACCGTGCCAAGGACTCCTACCAGTCAGGAAGTCTACACCTTCCTACGTGGCTGGCTTAGACTAACTGTTGTAGATTTCATTGACTGGTGAAGCCATGTTTAGGTTTGACCGCCACTGGCTAGCTCTTTTCCAGCCTGACCCATCCTATGTCAGCTAACATTGCCCATTGTCGAGGAAGGCGATGACTAGGGATGCATACGTAACACATGTCCTAACCATCTCAGTCGATGTAGCTTCACAGCCTCGTCGATTGATTTACCCTCCTTATCAACTAGCACTCGACCGATGGCCTAACCTCAATATTTCTCACCTTATTATACCACTTCACACGTGAGATGGAATGCGGACACCTATGATCGAAGACAGCTAGCCAGTATTTTCATGTCTTCCACTCTTAATGACCAGGTCTCACAGCCATAAAGGAGGACGGAGAGGACTGCTGCTGAGCAGTACACCCACCCTTTGGACGATAGCCGGGTATCACATCTACGCCAGAGACGGCGTAAACTGGCATAAACGAAACGAGCCCTCTGCATCCGTACTCAGCTGATATTTTGTCAGAGATCAACCCGTTGGCGCTGGCTGATGCAACTTCCCAAATAAGTGAAGCGGTTAACGTGCTCTACCACTTAACTCCCTATTTCTAAACTAGGAGTCAGTGTAATCCAGTTCTGTGATATCATCTTACATCTGGCGGGAGCGAATCGCATGGCAAACATTCGTAGATTGCAGCTCAAGGTGTTCAGAAGACTCTGCTGGATTTTGTCAGCGTCCTCGCCTAGAAGGACTATATCGTCTGCATATTATAAGTCAATGAGATTATTCCCTGATGGTAGCAAGTCAATCCCTGAGTCGCTGAAGTGAGTTAGGGTTAAGTCCATTAGTACATCTATGATGAAATTGAATAGAAAAGGGGATAGTGGTTTTCGCATGTAGATCTTCGAGTTTGTGTAACACTAAACATAAATCGTCCGCGAAGTCGTAATCTTCTACAATCTTCTTGTCCGGTCAATGTATTCTTATCTTCTGTCTCTCCAAGGTCTGGAGAATGACCCAGTCCACCACAATCTGGAATATCATCGGTGATGGTAGGGGGCAGAGTTGTCCTACTCTCGTATTCACTTCAAAAGCATCGCTGAGTTAACACATAATAATTATCCTAATAAATGCATCTATAAGTCTATGAAACATTACAAGAATAAGAAACAGAACGGGCAATGAGGGTAACATGAGCGTCAAATAAGCACAGGCAGAGGGAATTTCAAAAGAATGGAAAAATGGTATACCTTATGATGAAGATTTATGGTAGGAAGAAAGCACACACACACGAAACGTCAAAACCTACTTTGTTCAATGCATACAAAATCAGTATCTGAGACACCGTTGTCACTTCCACCACTGCTAACATTGCTATTGGTCATATTTTGAGGATGAGAATTGGCCATCACAGCAGACAGATGAGCAGATTGTCGTATTAAAGATAAACGATAGAAATAATTTCTCCAGAATATATCTTCACTTATTCTGTAGAGGGGAAAGAAGAGAGAAAAGAAGTAAGGTGTTTATTGGATATATATCACACATTGAAAGAGTATTATTTACTGGATGAACGGACACTTTTCGAACACAATTCATGATTATTCATAACCACGTTATATCAATGTAACTGGTGTTGAATACTTGGAGACAATCGATAGAAAGCCGTCAATATATGTTTCAACCATGAACAGTGTTATGAGAAGAACACATCTCTGACTGCAGATCTAGGGATTCTTGCTGACTACCTCTAACCTCCGAATACCAATTAGATATATACAACGCAATGGTAAATCACACTGCAAACAACTGACAGAATTCAGATAGTACTAGACTAGACAGTATGACATTAGTTATACCGTAATGACCTATTTATGTACTTATTATGTTTCTCAATAAGTTGAATTGATACGACAGAGACACCGATATTAGATTTAGACGCGCTGACCACAAATAGTGCTTGATTACACCGATAACATTATACGGCAGCTACCTGTTTACCCCATCCTACTGTACTCAAGCCAGAGCACACAACGACGCGCGGTTGAAAGTATTATTATTATTATTATTGTTTCCTTTAATTCCTAGAGGAACATAGGGCTTCAGCCACCCACGTCTCCATTCCGTTCAATTCTCTGCTACAGTCTTCACATGGCTCCAAGTCTGCCCACACGTTTTCATCTCCTCTCCACATGACCTCCTCCAAGTCACCCACCCTCGCACTGACGACCAACTCGCCGCCGCTTCCCCTTCGGTCGGGTTCCACTCGAGCAATGGCTTGTCTAGTGATGTCACTCATTTGATGGTTTGTTTCCTCAGAGTATGGCCAGCCAATCCACCTACCTCCATTTCTTCCTGCCTATTTGTTTCACAATCGGTTGGTTCCTGCTGTGTCGGTTGGTTCGCTCATTGCCAGATGTTGCTGATCTTTTCTGGCCGGCCGGCCATCTGATCTTGAGTAGTAGTGAGCGAAGACAGCTAGCTGTTAATGAAGGTCTGTAGTTTGTTTGAGATTCTCTTTATGACGCGCAGTGCAAGTCTCTGATCCATCCGTATAGTAAGTGGCACTGACTGACTTCACATTAGAGTTGAAAATCCGGATCTTATCTTCGTTTTGATGCTGAGTGCTGTCAGTTGACCTCCACACAAACTTGAGAGTAGCGAAAGCTTGTCTTGCTTTTCCGATCGATTGTTGCTTTGATATCCTCGTCAGTTCCGCCTGCAAGTATATTTAACAGTACTCTTAAGAGAAGTCGGTATACCATAGGAAAACAATGATATATACACATATATGAACGGTGGCGTATGTGAGAAGATGACCATATTTTAGTACGATGGAAGAATGCTTTCCAGACATGCAGGAGGTCTGGGTTTGATTCTCGGTCAATATACCCCTAAACCTCGCCTAGTTTTCTAACCCATAGGAAGTACCGGAAAAGAGGGAATATTGGGGTGTGAGTGAGGCTAGCGACGCCACACCGCAACAACAACGCCACTGCAACCCAAGGGAGGAAGTAAAACAATTCCTCAACCTGTACGAATTATTTCAGTCGAATAACAACAAATTTGAATCCCCTCATGACAATTTTATGTATATATATAAACTTCGTAGTGTGGGAATCAGCTGTGCCACACAAAAACAATATACGGAAAAGAAGTAGGTTGATCGAGGAACAGCACCATGAAAACACGGGCTACCGGATGTCAGAATTACTCATATGATGACGCTACCAGGTATAAGCAATTTAATGGGTGCATTGGTTACCGAACATGCAGAGTCGCCTCACATCTTTACTTCGGAGGCTAAGCTATACCGGTGTAGAGAGAAAAAGCCTATGCGCACTGAAGTGTTGCAAATACAATCTTGACAGCTTGATGTGTCCTAGATTGGAGTATGCCTCCCTGGTTTTCACTATAGTATTGGAGATTTTATTTACCACACCTCCGCCAGCAGTCACACAACTTCCTAGATACACGAAAATGTCTCCTTTTTTGACGGTTAACCTGCAGCGGTGAGTTTAGTTACAGGCTTTTGGGAATCCCGCAGCTACACTGTACACACAGCTCAGTACATACCATACAGATACTGACAAGAGGCTTACTAAATATTTTTAAAAATCTATATTAGCTGTGATACCTACAAAGTATATCAAAGAAAGAATATATGAGGCCTGAGTTATTTACACGTTTAAGCACAATTGAAAATATTGTGATTGTTGCACTCTTTTTTTTGGTACACACTAACTATACATAACATGACGAAGGAAAAAAGATAAAGTAAATAAAATAAACGAAAATTGTGAAATGTGATAAAACCAAACCAAGTAAAAAAATGTGATGCGTTACAAGAAAAAAAAGATGATAGTTATGAGGATGAAATATGAATGTATTTAAACAATTACACCTAGTGCTTCCAAAAGATGATTTTGACTGTCTCGTGAGCCCCATATAGATTAGCTAAACCTTAAACATCTAATTGTCATATGCTTCAAAAATATTTATCTAGATATTTATAAAAATAATGAGCGACTGGGACGAAGTGATTCCCTACATGAATTTAATTAATGTGACTTAAACATGTGCCTTATTTATATTATTGTTCCCTTGGCTTCCTAGTTGAACATAGGGCTTCAACTGCAAGCCTCCACTTGCTTCTGTCTTCTGCTGTACTTTTCACTTGAATCCATGTTAATCCATACTGTTTCAGTTCCTGTTCACACGATCTCCTCCATGTCACCCTTGGACGTCCCACTCGCCGCTTCCCTTTCAGGTTCCACTCGAGCTATGGCCTGACGCGCGATGTCACCCACCCAGTGGCCTCCTCAGCGAGTGTCCAATCCATCTCCACTTTCTCCTGTATATTTGTTGAGCGATTGGTTCTTGTTTTGTTTCTTCCCATAGCTTCTTGTTTGTGATTCTTTCCGGCCATCTGATCTTCAGTATAGAGCCAGCGAAGACAGTTGCTGTTGATAAAGGTCTGCAACAGGCTGTTGGAAATATTCTTTGTGACCCGCCAAGTTTCTGATCCGTATAGTGTGCCTTATTAGTTTCGGGAAAAATTGTTCATTCCCAGAGGAATATAGGGCTTCAAGCTTTGAAGTTTCAGTAGTGACAGTAAGGCTACCGGACTTACTTTTATCCCTCTTCCTTCTGGGCTCATCACCGGTTACGCCAGGTTTAGGAGTGAGTCCGTTAGGAGTCAAACCTGGACCTCTTGCATGAGTGAGTGGTGAGCATTCTGCCACTTAGGAAAATACTAATCTACAAGCGGTGAGTCGTGAATTCGAATCCTTTTCTATCCACAAAGACTTTTCTTTTTATTCCTTTGAGCTCCGAGTGGAAATTAGGGCTTTAAGCTGGAGTTTTATTGAAGTTTCAGTAGCACTGGTGTTATTTAAGGAGTTGGGTTGCTAGCCTCGCGCCCAGCTTCCCCTCTTTGTCCGACCTACAGCCGGCTAAGAGAGGTAAAGGTGTGCACCGGCCAGGAATCGGACCCCAGACCATGTGTATGGTTAACGACCAGTCTACCACTGAACCACCGACGCACACCCACAGAGACTTGGGCAACCAGGAATTATAATAAACCTACACCATATGCAGCGTATAGTCTGTGGTTCATTTTTAGACAGGTACATGACTACAAAAATAACACTAATTATTTTATCGGTAACTAACGTGAAAAAGCGAAGTTCTCAGTACTTATTGTACCTAGAAGCCATTAACAAGAATCTGTCTGTTTTCGACATAGAACTTTGCACATATGTGCGACAGTTCAAGTCGACACACTCACTCCATGTAGCACACAAAGCCAGAAAAGAAGAAAGTAGGAGAAATGCATTTTAGAGAGAGACAGTAAACAGAGGTGTGAGACAAAGGAATAGTAATAACGAAGAATAAAACAGTTTCATTGGAAATCATAAGTCAGTTACAAGGAGTGGATGCATCTGCACCAGCCATTGAGAACGATCACTTTGAGCCATATCACCAACTGTTGCCACCCTTCATTGGTTTTTACCGTCCCGAGGACCCCAACCAGTCAGTCAGGAAGTCTACACCTTCCTACGTGGCTGGCTTAGACTAACTGTTGTAGATTTCATTGACTGATGAGGTCATGTCTTGGTTTGACCACCACTGGCTAGCTCTTTTCCAGCCTAACCCTATGTCAGCTAACACTGCCCGTCGAGGAAGGCGATGACCAGGCATACGTAACACATGCCCTAACCATCTCAGTCGATGTAGCTTCACAGCCTCGTCGACTGATTTCCAATTCCTCCTTACCAACTAGCACTTGACCGATGGCCTAACCTCAATATTGCTCACCTTATTAAACCACTTCACACGGGAGATAGAACACAGACACCTATGATCAAAGACAGCTAATATTTTCATGTCTTCCACTCTCAATGGCCAGGTCTCACAGACAGCCATAAAGGAGGACGGAGAGGACTGCTGCTGAGCAGTACACATGCCCTTTGGTAGATAGTCGGATATCACGTCTACACCAGAGACAGAGTAAACTGGCATATGCGAAACGAGCCCTCTGTATCCGTGCTGAGATTTCGTCAGAGATCAACCCGTTGGCATTGGCTGATGGTACTTCCCAAGTAAGTGAAGCAGTCAACGTGCTCTACCCCTTCACTTCCTATTTCTAATCTAGGAGTCAGTGTAGTTCAATCCTGTAACATTATCTTGCATTTGGCATACAAAATATAAAGGAAACGAGATCCACATTGCACATGTGTCTTCACTAACAAATTCCAGAACTAATAAAATCTGAAAGCCAGAATTTTCCTTAAAATTAAGGTGAATACTCTTATAAAACATGAATGCCCTATTTAGTAGTATTTTTCGATTACTTCACCTCGATAGCTGAAATTATATGAATTCTCTGTCTATTTGATTTATACAAAGGATGGAGAGAGCGAGAAATTCTGCCAGCTTTTTGACCACATTAAAACATTTATGTTAGAAAGGAAACAAAGTTTTGACATATAAAGTTAACAGACGCATGGTATATGATAAACATCAATTTAAAACTTCTTGGAATTTTAGGATACCATTAAATAGGGAATACAGAAACAAATACTTCATGTGGAGATTCAACTTATTGGCTTAAGCAATATGCTTTCAGTAAATGGGTCTACGGGTTCGAGTCCCATTCCATCAACTTCATTCTGAGCAACTGGGTAGTATCCTCAGGCCCTCTCACAAAAATACGAGTGACTCTTAGCCTGGTACATGAAAGACCCATCCATTCGGATAATTGGGCTCAAACTTGGCAGGAGTGAATGTTAAAAAAGGTGTCACCAACTGAACTTAAGCGTACAGAAGCAAGTGTGGTCAGCTTCTCACACCTATAATAGTAGATCAATTGTGAATGCCTCCAAAGCCTCAGGATGGCCGGGGGTGGGTGCCTTGCGCTGCGGGTTGGCCACCCTTCCGCACACCTCTTGAAATGCTCCCTTATGACGGGGCGTCTCACATAGCCTCTCCTGAGGAAGTCCTGCTCACTGCCTTCACGTGGCGGAGGTGTTTTTCACCAAAGTGAGAGGGCGAAAGCGGATGCCCGGCGCTCTTCACCGGGTTGACTGTCCATTGGATGACAGTCTAGGGGAGATGGCTAAACCCTGATTCCAAACCTCCAACGACTGGTGTATGAAGCTCACTGGAGCTCACCGGTTGACGTATGGACAAAGGGCTTGTTGGATGTCCTGGATGTCTGGCCTCATTCAAAAAGGCGTATGAACCGAACTCCGGTCACCGGCTGCCAATGGATAGTGGACTCCCTACTCCACTCCTACTGCCTTGTAGGTCACACTTGGTTGTGTAAAGGCTAGAGCTGCACTCTCAAACAAAAGGCCGAGCGGTTCTGGAGACATCACTCGTAACAAATTCCCATGAAACCTCATGAACTCTCCAACAACGTCGCCTTCGGTGGTTTGGCCATGTTCTGCGCCGACCAGATGACGATCTGGTCAAATCAGTTCTAAATCCCTCGCCATTACCATCTTGGCGATGTCGCAGGGGTGGACAGCTGAAAACATGGCTTGGTACAGTCAAGGCTGATATGGAGTGCCTGGGGCTACAAACCGTCTACGGACTCCGTCTGTGGAACAAGAATTGGATAACCCTGTCGCAAAACCAGTTCGCCGCGCCTGGGCAGCGATGATTCGAGATGTTCATGAAGCCGGCTCATCCTCCCGTAGGAGATAGCCTAAGTAAAGTAAAAGTAAGTAAAGAATGTTATGATACGAAACCTTGAAAATTCTTACACAACTGGAAATTAATACTGTCAACAAAATAACCTTCAAGGCTATTTTCCCAAACAGCGTACAAAACTTACTTGCTTGGCACAAGACGATATCGTACAGCAGATAAATTAGGATCTTCCTTAAGAAGAATTTGGGCTTCGTGTAGTAAATTTTGAGGTATCGGTGTAGTCCACTTGAGTTGAGCTTCTTCAGGTGGAGGGATTAGAAAGTTATTTGGATTTTGACTTAAAGCTAAAATATTTTCTTTCAATGCAGAAACAGCATTAGGATCACTTAAACCAGATACATCAGGATGCCATGGTGGAAGATCGGACAGTGTTGATACATGAAAATCAACTGTTTCATTTTGGCTGGACTGATGAGCCTCGGCAAAATCAGCTTGAGCCTGTTGAAATTCACGTATGAGTGGAACCTAGGAGATGATTAATAATTAATATTTATTCACATTTTAAATGCAGACTGTTCTTTAAAGAGTAATAAGTAGTTAGCAGAACATGAAATTGAACATCATGATTGTGAAGAGAATGAATAGCACAAAAAAGAATCTTGTTAAATTTTTAACTTATAGGTTAAGACAAAATGATCCTGTCAAATTGAAAATCTTGTGATAATGTTCTTGAGATGATAGTAATATCTTAGGTCGCAGGTACACCTTACTGATAAATATTAATAGGACAAAAATCTTAATCGAAGGCTTCCAGTTCTTCACCTCCAACAATCCGAAATCTCCTGGGAGAGTGATTACACTGGATTAAGTCAGCACTAAGGCTAGGACAATACGACGATGATTACACTGTAGTGACAAATCAAATGTAATTACTTACAATGAAAAATCAATAAATTTGAATTCATTGAGGATTTCATCATGAGCTGACATCAGTTAAAGAACCACTGGAAAACCTGGGAGTACTGAACAGCTGTTTCGTCCTAGTTTGGGACTCTTCATCAGCAGTACGCACCCACCACTGGGGGGTTCGAACCCAGGACCTTCTGGTTACAAGGCGAGCTCGTAGACCATTGAGCCACTGGGACCCGATCCAATGGTTCTCAATGGTCTATGAGCTCGCCTTGTAACCAGAAGGTCTTGGGTTCGAACCCCCAGTGGTGGGTGCATACTGTGAAGAGTCCCAAACTAGGACGAAACAGCTGTCCAGCACTCCCAGGTTTTCCAGTGATTCTCTAACTGATGTCAGCTCATGATGAAATCCTCAATGCAATCAAAACAAAAATCCCTACAAAACCAATACTTGAAAATTTGAATTCCTTCATACCAGTTGCTAATGGGATCTCAATAGGTATACAGAAAGTGTAATGGAAATTATTATGAAAGGTGTAATAGTAACCGATATTTAAAACGACGTTTTGAAAAGCGAACTTATTTTTGTAGAGAGAGACCAGATTTACAAGGTCTAGTAGTCATGCTGCCCTCAGTTAGCAGAAGGTATCAAAATCGATGACAAATCAAATGAAGGCTTAATCTAACTCAACAATGAATAATAATAATAAAAATAGCGTAATGGTTTTGGTAGATAAATAATCGACTTTTATTAGTCAAGGTTCCAGCAGAGAATAAGGTCTTTATCCCAGAGGTTTCGACGATAAGAAACGGTTAGGCATATACATTCAATGACGTTTGGTTACATATTAATCGTGTCAATTATTAATCTAGCCGATGAGTGTCTCTTTAAACTACACTAGTAAACAAATTCGAATTCAGTACAAATTTTCAAAAGCAAACGGGGCTACTGATTCTTCAAGGCAATCTGATATTTTGTGAGTACATTTGCTTTCCAGCCTGTCTGTCATGTGACATATCTGAAAGTTCTCTAAAGTCAAATGCATCTAAATCAGGTGTATGCAGGAGAGAACTGCAGACGGAGATATCTGTTACCATCGAAATAAGGAATGTGCACAATAGCTTCAAAGAGATGTAAAACAAATTCTCAAGAAAAGAGTTCCTCAGAACTCACCAAGATGTTATAATACTAGATGCTGTTGAAATCTTGACAGTCTAAGGAGAGTGGCGAATACGACGTGACCCCCAGATGACAGAGTTCGAAAAGAAACTATTCGATTCACTTTTCTGTCAAAATACTGACACTCTGTTCGGTTATGACATAGGAGACTCTGTTCGTCTGATATTTTCTCACTGTCTGTGACAGCATGCTATTTTCATAGTTGTACAAACTTGAAAAAGAGTCGTTCAAAAAATCTATGGTATTCCAGCTAGTCGTAAGTAAGTTGATACATTTTATAAAACTTCAGATATTGTGCACAGCTTCCAGAGTTACGGCACTCAGGACGAGGGCAACAAGTTTGGTAGGATACTAACCTGTATTCAGTAGTGATAGGCTGAAAAACGAAGACTATCGCTAGATTTGGAATGTAATTAATTTCTTTTCTTAATATTTTCAGGCTATTGTAGATTCGAAAAATTGAAGTAGTGAGGCCTAACTATTTTGAAAACGTACAGTTGGTTAGTTCTCCCAAGTTTGAATCCCAGTGAAATTGACGTTGTTGCGATCTCTAGTTTCGTAATTTAATTGTGAAGTTTTCATTGTCCTTCTAGACAGCATTTATTTTCCATTTATTTTAAAATAATTTATTTTCATCTGCTTCACATTTGCCTGAAATACTAACAAAAAGTGAGATACATATATCACTCCGTAAGTTTTTTTGAATGTAGCTTATTATGTTTAAGTCCTCAGCTAGTTTGTGCACAATTCCAAGTGCGCTAGAGACATTTTTAGAAGTTTCTGAAGCCTTATGTTTATTTCAGCTTATCTGTTAAACTAAGAGCAGTTATGTACACTTCACGTATTCATTAATAAAGTAAGTTATATTTATTCAGTCGACCGTCGAGAACTTCAGAGGCAATTCAGGGAAACTTATGGATCTCTGCGAATATCTTAACAAATGTGGTTATTTAAGTCCCCCACCCCGTGAGGTAAGCTAAACCTTACGTCGTAGGTTTCCTGAACGAAGCTTTTTTCCTGGCCCAGCTAGCAATAACTTCGGGAGCATTGCAGTATGTTCGGGGCTGGCTTATGGACCTTGTCCCACGTTCGGCTGAGCGCCCGAATAAAATGCTAGCTGGTGAGATGCGGTCGTTGTTTATAATAGTCCGAATTAATTCATAAAACTCAATACAAACGCTGCAAGATAACTCACCTGTTTGACAGTTGAAGTAACATCGCTTACAGCCGTCTTTATCTCATTTAAATCTATCCGATTTGCCAGATTCCGTACTACTTGCTCACTGGATTTTACAGCCTTTGAGAAAAAATAACCTGTCATTGGATAAAAATAACCCCGTAAAAACATACTTCCCCATTCCTTTGCTATGGACAGTTTGTCCTGAACTTCTTTACGGTCATCTAGTTGACCTTTTTCGCAAACTTCAGCCTCAGACATAATGTGACGTAAAATAGAAAAGCAGCGGGTAAATGAATGTGTTTCAATATCCAATACAGTCTTTACAAGCTGGTGTTGGCTAAAATAATTTTCTTGTGTTGGCTTATTGGTCCTAAGATGAATTTGCATGATCTTTGGTAAACTCCTGAATAGTGCACCCCACCATTTGGCCGCCGTATCATTGGTAAACTGCAAAGGAAGTGGTGAGGAGATTGGCTGAGCGTTTCAGCAGTTTGTGGTGTAGGCACCTGTCATTTCCGAAACATGTGCATGATAGGGGGACGAAAAGATTCCATTAGGTGTTTGCAGATCAAGGAACTCCACAATTTTCACCGCTTAACTTCATTCTCCACTCGTCAAACCATAACGGAAAGTTGTTTATATTAACAAAAACCGTATTAAACAGGCATGATACATTACTAATGAATGACTTATACACAATTCCGATGCTTACGGGACCAAGTTTTATATCAGAATATTATTCAAAATATCGTCTACAACGCGATATATTGTAGAAGAATAATAGTGTTTATGAACCTTTATTCCCGAAAGCATAGCAGAGGGAAAATGAATCGGCGAATATTCAGGCCAACTAACGGAAAGGCATTTATCATTCACTAGATAAAGAAAGCTTAACAAACCATAGAGAATACATAGTTCCTACTCGTTCAACCTCTCTGAAAGCTTCAGTTATTTAGTACATCCAAGTAGCCACTGAACACAGTATTCATAGGGCCTACAAAGTCATCTGCAAAAGGTGTGTCAGAGCAGTTGAAGAACGGACGATCAATTCATGGTTGTTTGCTCAAACCCAACTCCATATTTTAGCGGGAGTCATCGATACTGCAGTCATCGTTCTATCGTTCGCTGTTTGTTAGAAGACAGGGAAAAACTATCAGAAGTATTATTGTGATTAATTGTTATAACATTTATCCTTAGACTTTGTGTACAATAACCTTGTGGTTGGTTCTGTATTGGCGCAAGAATATAGGATTCTTGAATCACCAGTTTGTGTTCTGGTTTTTCGCGTTGGTTATTGACAATAGTTTCTGAAAGTCTTCTAAGAACAGCGTTAAGTCCAGGGTAGTTAGACATGGACATTGACAAGGTGTGTCACACTTAATAAAGTTGCCAATGCTCCGGAATGTGTCACGAGTTAGACACTTAATCTTATTCACTCTGCACAACGTTGTGGAAGTACCTTAGGTCATCACACTGGAATGTATGAGCTATTTTTGGGTCATCTGCAAAGATGAATGGGAAGCAAGTGCATATGTCGTTGATATAAATTGTAAATAGGAGGGGCTCAACTACACTACCTTGTGCTACACCAGAAGTGATTGGGCCAGGTTTGGAAGTTATCAGCCCAGGTCCAAATGCTTCGGACCTGTTGTTAGGGAACGATTCAAGCCATCCTAACAGTGGATCACGTATTCCTACGGACTTCAGCTTATGTGTCAGCAGTAAATGGTCGACGCGGTCAAATGCCTTAGAAATGTCCAGGTACATGACAAGTGCTAGTTTTTGTCTGTTACGACAACTGGTCACAAAGTTAAGGAAGTCTAAGTAGCATGTTAAACATGATCTGGATTTTAAGAACCCATGTTGGTTTGGACCTAAATGTTGCGGCCATATACTTGAGTTTGTTATCCTTAACCAGTCTCTCCATAATTCTAGGTGCTATAGGTGTGATATTGATTAGTCTGCAGATGTTGACTTCTGTTTTTGAGCCACCTTTTTTGGGGGGTTGAACAAATGCTGTTTTCCATATAGCCCGGTTGGTTTGAGTTTCTAAGGACATTGTGAAGATTTTGAGCAGTAATGTGGGAATGTTAGGATCACCATATTTATAGAAATGTGATGACATACTGTCAGTGCCAAAATCTTCAGAGCTTTCAGAGTTCTAATGACGTGTGCAATGTTGGCATAAGTGAACTCAGAGGTACTTATTTGTTTTAGTGTGGGTAGAGATGGAAGTTGTGTCATATGTAAACTTACGCGTTTATACGAAATATATATATGCTATATTACATGTCATAAGGGTACATACCGAGTTATGGGGCTGTGGGCTTAAGGTGGTTAGCTGCAAATGTTTTGTTGAATAAATCACACTTTTGCAGATCCACTGCATAGCCCGCCTTTGTCTACGAGGAGAGAAATGCTGTGATTCTCACGATTTGATCGCTTCTTTAAGATTTCTGTAAGAGTGACATTCTACCGAGGCTGGCTAGTGAGGCGCGTTCTTCGTTTCTCAAACTCAATTTTTGAGTTTGTGGGATGAAGCTCAGAGTGCCAAGTATTTTTATCTATTTGATTATAGCTTAACTCCACACCGTATTTTTGAATGGCTGTATATACGATATGTATTCGCCCCAAACTTGAATACTGTGCCTACTTATACAGTAGCTTTAAATCAGCAGAGAGAAAAAAAGTTGAAAGTGTTCAAAGATTCCTGACGAAACGCATATTAGGCTATGATCAGCAAATAGAATACCTTGATAGATGTATTCGACTGGACTTAGAACCCTTATGGTTAAAGAGAGTGAGGTGCAACTTATTTCTCTTATTCAAAGTTATAAGAAAGCACTGTAGCAGTAACTCATCCATAACGTCGGCTAATCTTAAATCGTATGCACTACGCAACCATGACTACCTTCTCAAGGTTAACACCCATAAACTCACCACTAGAGCTACCTTTTTCACCATTAAATATTGCGAACTTTGGAACCAGCTACCCTCTGAGATTAGATCCTGTGGAAAGTCTGACAGTTTCAAAAGGAGCCTAGAAAAACATATTAACATGTCCACCCTAGCCCGTCTAAAAGATCACAACTGCTGGTAGAGTGGGGAGACAATGACATTTCAATATTTAACTACGGAAAGCACACTAGTCCCAATACTAATATAATAATACTTAGTAATTATGCATAATCAATTCTTGATATTGGATTGTCATTACAATACTTAAAATGATTAAAATATTTATGCAGCAAATATTCTCTTGCTTTATCACGCTTGTTTCCCCTATAACACTCAATTATTGAGCATAATATATTCTTTGATGATACGAATGATAGTATTGATTACACTCTTATCAAATATAGTTTGATTTACTTTACGGCTCCCTGTAAGACTAACTACGCTTCTTCAGTATACACACACTGCAGTATTTTTAACCAAACGTTAAAATTCTGCTGGTTCTGTGTTAATATCTTTTTATAACATGTATAGACAGGTCACTTTACAATGTCAAATGTTTAATATATAAAAGACTGTCATGATAATTTAGTACAATAAGTCCTGCCAACCGACCTTACCTTCAGTTCATACTACCTACATTGAACTCTAACTATAGTGTTCTGAAGAATCTTGCTCCACTATTCGAGCGACTTTATTGCATATCCCCTCAATGACGTTTGTCTGTATGTTGCTATTGGTTTCAAGTGGCCATGGTTTCGGGGCGAGATTTAACTGATATAATATTGTGATTTCATAGACATATCTCAGGCTCATACGTGAAAGAAAGTTATTATCCTGTAATAAGGAAAAGTTGTTCAGAAGGTAAGGAAGACGTTATTTTTCAGTTTATTTGTGTTTATACTATTGTGCACCGAGTTGCATTGAGTTCTTAGTGAAACTGTATGTAACTGCATTTACATAAAGTGAAACATTACGAATGCTCCTGTTTCTACAATAAAAACATTATTATCGTTAAGTTTAGTAATGAAGAATGGAATTTCTTCAACGTCAATGTTATTTAATTGAAGTTGTAATCTGTGTAGGCCCTCGGAGGAACAAATTCGGCATGGAGATCTCCTATGTAAACCGAAACTACTTTTAGTGTGCTGAATCTCACTGACTTCCTGTATAAATTAGATATTTGTCAAGTGTTTATTTAAAATCTGCTGGAGTATTCAGTAAAGTAAAAGTTGTAGTGCATAATTCCAAGACTTTTTTGTAGTCATTGGTATTGCTAAGATACCACTTACTCGTTTTATGCAGCCGAAATATACAAATCTCGCTTTACTGTGGAAACGCTATAATACCTGCAAAAGTATTGCGTCAGTTAATGAGTTTCAGAAATTCTACAGAATGTTTTCTATTCAGTGATTACTGTTTGCGAATTATCCGGGAAAACACATTTCCAATTGGGATGTAACACAAGGCTGAATTCTTAAACTGTCATCCTTATATCATTTCAATCCAATCACACATATATCAGTAGGATAGTCTATAAATGACTTTAGAGACTTATCATCATCATCAACTTACAGTTTACTGATGATACTGTACACCTAGACTATGAGAAGTAAACCCTGAAACTGGAAGATATGAAAAGAATACCGGTGTTTTTGATTATAGGTGTCTGTGTTCTATCTCATGAGTAATATGGCGATTGCTCTTGAGGTTACGCATAAAGTGTTAGGTGAGGAGGGTAAGTTAGTCTTCAAGGTAGGGAAGCTGAATAGGTTGAGATGGCTCTAACACGTGATGGCATACCAAGCCATCGCCTTCCTCGAGGGATAATGTTAGCCAGCACATGTTAATGTTCGAAATGTGTTTGGGTCGGTCAAATGAAAAACTGGTATTGGTTCATAAAATCGTTGACAGTCAGCTAGAAGAAATACTAGATATATGTCTGCAAGTCTTTGCTTATGGCACAGATGCATTCACTCTGTGTAGTCTCAATACTTTTCTAAAACGTATAATCTTTTTAATATTTCGCAGTATTTTTAACATTATATAAGTTGAAGTGTTACTTTGCAATGTCTGATGCGTAGGGTATGAAAATCGGTCATGAAAATTTAGCATAACTAGCTATGTTAACTAGCTGTTTTCTTTAGGATCATTATAAATGATATTATTACTAATTGTTCCACTACACATTTTACTCTGCGAAATAGACCATAACTTAGTTGCTGTAATACTAGCTACTTCTATACTTTATACTCCTTAAATGCAGTTTCCTAGGCGTTTGGAAAAAAATACTTGTATACATGTATGCATGTATAAAGGTGATGCTGCTAAGAATGTCCTCAGGTATCGAT